GGAAGGAAGGAAGGAAGGAAGGAAGGAAGGAAGGAAGGAAGGAAGGAAGGAAGGAAGGAAGTGTTCCTCTACTTGGAAACTTTAAGATATGTAGACCTCAGCTCCAAGAATTTCCCAGTCAACACCCCAAAGAATGCTTCCAGCTCCCAAGTTTGAGAAACTTTATGGAGCCTTTACTTTTTTTAGTGATAGCTGATGGCAGCATCTACCTTGACTGACGTTGAAAAAGCTAAGCAGGGTTAGACTTAGCTACTTTCAGGAGAGACTGAAAATCCCAGACTAAAGTAATGTTTTAAAAAGAATAAAAAAATTGGGGAAGAAGGCATGGGTAATTCACTTCTGGAGGGATGCCAAGAAAGCTGGCGTAGACCTTCCTCCAAAGCCATCAAGAGCCAAAATTGACCCAAGGGATTCTTTTATCTAGCTGGTGGTCTTTGGGTTTCAACAAATAAGCAACGGCTGTCCTACGAGCTTAAAATCCCCTCCGTTTCTGCTGCAGCATGCTGAGAGCATCTGGATTTAAGCTGCAGTGCTGAAGATACGCTGGCAGGCTTCAACTCCGGCTAATGCGTTGGCTGGCCTTGTCAAGTTCGCAGTCAACAAACTGCCATTGAAGCTAAAAGATCTCCAGTCCTTCTGCAGGAGATGGCAAGAAGAAGCCACTCACTGATTCCTGGATTATTTATTTATATCCTCAGACATATTTATTGGGCTTCAGACCGATGAATCAATTAGAAAACTTAATCCGTGGAACGACTTGCCTCCAGAAGTTGTAGGTCTTGCAACACTGGAGGTTTTTAAGAAGAGATTGGACAACCATTGGTCCAGAATGCTATGGGGGTCTGCTGCTTGAGCAGGGGGTTCGACTAGAAGACCTCCAAGGTCCCTTCCAACTCTGTTTTGTCCTATATTCTATATAAAACTAAGGCACTTAGTAGGATGGGGACAAAGATACAGGTTTCAGGATTTGGAAATTTCAGAATCAAATCATCACTTGAAACTTGAATTGACTTGGTCATCAGAAGTGCAGCGTGAATTGTCACAATTTGCTGGTTTTTAAGTGCTGTGTAAAATACAGTTTCCTTCTGTTGAGTCACATAACCATATTCAGTCATTAAACGTGGCATACGATGGAACTAAGGAGGGATTTTCTGACAGTGAGAACAATTAATCAGTGGAACGATTTGCCTCCAGAAGTTGTGAATGCTCCATCACTGGAGGCTTTTAAGAAGAGATTGGAGAGTCATTTGTCTAAAATGGTTTAGGATATCCTGCCTGAGCAAGGGGTTGGACCAGAAGACCTCTAAAGTCCCTTCCAACTCTGTTGTTCTGTTATGCTGTCTTCCTGTCCTTCCTTCCTTCCTTCCTTCCTTCCTTCCTTCCTTCCTTCCTTCCTTCCTTCCTTCTCCACCACTGGAGGTTTTTAAGAAGAGACTGGACAGTCAATTGTCTGGAATGGTAGAGGGTCTCCTGCTTGAACAGTGGGTTGGACTAGAAGACCTCCAAGGTCCCATCCAACTTTGGTATTCTGTTATGTTATTATCCATCCTTCCTTCCTTCCTTCCTTCCTTCCTTCCTTCCCTTCTTCCTTCCTTCCTTCTCCACCACTGGAGGTTTTTAAGAATGGTATAGGGTCTCCTGCTTGAGCAGTGGGTTGGACTAGAAGACCTCCAAGGTCCCTTCCAAATTTGTTGTTCTGTCATTCTGTTTTCCTTCCTTCCTTCCTTCCTTCCTTCCTTCCTTCCTCACTCCCTCTCTTCCTCATCTCTGGAGGTTTTTAAGAAGAGATTTGGACAACCATTTGGCTGAAATGGTGTAAGCTTTCCTGCCTGAGCAGGGGGTTGGACTAGAAGACCTCTAAGGTCCCTTCCAACTCTGTTATTCAGTTATTCTGACCTCTCTTGTACCCATATACCTATGGATGTTTACACATTCGTACATATGTCCTGTCAAAGTATCCATTAATCTGTATATGTATGTGATATAAACTTGCACAATATAAGATATACCCTATGTTTTAAACATTTTCAAACTTGAGTTGAAAGAAAATCCAGAAAGAATTTCTTCATATCAAACGGCACCAATGATAATATGAGAGTTTCTCTTAACCACTTGAATTTTTTTTTCCTTTTCAACCATAACGCACAGATTGTTTTCGTGGAAATGGGACAAATTATATGGGCAATTTAGCCCAGACAAGGTTCGGCTTGAGTTGCTCCATGTGGGATAAAAACATCCAAGATTTAAGAAGGTAGGTACAAGATTAATTAAAAGTTATATTTTCCCTCCTAGACACGGTTGGATAGTGTAACATTTCATACAAATAAATGTCTTCCAGGCTTCAGGATCTCTGAGTTTTAGCTTTGATTTATTTTCTTTCTTATTAATATGTTCTTTTTTAAAAAAAAAGATGGGATGGTTGTTTTAAGAAAAAAGTGCTGGTTATGTGATGAGGGAGAAGCGATTTAGGAAGAGTTATAATTAAATTCCATAGTCAGCCCCAAATTCCCTTTTCACTGTTTTTTGAATGCCATTGTGTCATCTTAGGCAATTATTTAAAAGGTTGTTCTTTTTTTAAAAAAAAAAAGAACCTAGGATATCGTGGGAGATTAGCAATAACACTTAGACTTCTACACCGCTTCATGGGGCTTCCCAGCCCTCTCTAAGGGGTTTATAGAGTCAGCCTTTTGCCCCCAATAATCTGGATCCTCATTTTACCCACCTCGGAAGGGATGGAAGGCTGAGTCAACCTTTGAGCTGGTCAGGATTGAACTCCTGGCACTGGGCAGAGTTACCTGGCAATCCTGTATCCTAACCACTGCACCACTACAGCTCTCTTATCTTTTGGACTGACAAGAATTATTTTTACAAAACTTGACATATTGTAGAATTTTCTAAAATCTTGTGAGATTTCTCCATATCACGTCTGATTGAGGGCTTCTGGAAGCTTATCTACCTACCTACAGTACCTACCTACCTACCTACCTACCTACCTACCTATCTACCTATCTATCTCCATCCATCTCCATCCNGCAGATATATTCTCATTGTGCCCAGAGAGAGAAATCTCTGATTGTGAGGCAAGAGCTCCCCCTGTTGGCCAGCACACCACTCACCAGAAAGAAACGATCATTGTCCTATTTCTTTTTTCTAGCTCAGAACGTGGTGCGCAGCTCCTCCGCCGTTGTTGAAACAACCGAGTGCATACAAGGGCAAGGGGAAGGCTACAGGGGCACGGTGAACACCATCTGGAGTGGGATTGAATGCCAACGCTGGGACTCTCAGGTGCCTCACCAACATAACTTCACGCGGGAGAACTTTAAGTGCAAGTGAGTAGCACACAACTTGGATAAGAGTGATTGACCTCAGTGTGGAGAACGGGTGTTAAACGTTTCTAACTCAAGGGCAGAACTTAGTGCTATTGTGTCTTTTGGAGTTCTCTGTCAAAAAACACTTCTTTGACAAGTTGACAAATGGAGCATAGTGGCTCACGCGGTTAGAAACGCAGGGCTGCCGATCCGGCTCATGTTCGAAACCCGTTGCTGTTGTGAAGTGGGGTGAGCTCCCATCACATGCTCCAGCTCCTGCTAACCCAGCGGTTCAAAAGTGGGCAACCGCGAGCAGATTTGTGAGCACTACTTCAATGGGTGACTTCATGGGGGGCGTCAAATGAACCCCCAACTGGGCAACTTCCAGGGCAACAGCGATATCACCGACAAATCCTTTTGCCACATTGGTGAAGTGAATTGGTGCGATTGTTGAGCGACACGGGAATCAAAACCAAACTGATATTGTGATGTAGGAGACAAATTCTGTCCAGGTGTTGTGTCTGTTTTGGGCCTGATCCCCAGTCACTTCTTGTGTAGTGTTCTAGCATTATGGATGTGTTGATCAATCCAATTTGCAATCTTTGTGGGTTATTTGGAGTAGGGCAATGATATTGGCAGAAGTATGTTGTATTCTTTGAATCGATGTTTGACAGGTTCCCTGAGCAGATGACTTCTTGTAGTATGCCTTGTAAATGGCAATAAAATTCCCTTTTTACGACCCTGCAATCCCTTAATTTGGGGTTAGAGTGGGGCGGCGACGATGGGTTGGAGTTGAGCATTTGCAGTCCAGATGCCCTTCTTAATACCTACATGGAGTTCACAGCAGATATGTTTTTTTCTTTGCGCCCTGGGAGAGAAACATCTGTTGTTACCTGGGATTGAACTCTCAACCTTCCGAGTGGGAGCCAAGCATCTTCACCACTAGGCTACCATGCCGCTCTGTCTTGGGAGTGGCAATATGGTGACCATATGTATGTGGAGATATTTGGACCAACATCCACACAGTTGACTCCAGCTGGGAGAGCTATTACACAAGAGGAAGAAACATATTCTTTTTTCTGACCTTGGACACTTCTTCTTCATCTTTCCGTATTTTGGGAGAAGCTGCAGCTTTGCCTTCCAGGATCATCTGCAGCTCTTCACTCTTCATTCCTTAAATCGATTGGCTGGTTCTTGTGAAAGGATTCACTCTCCATATCTTCAATCTTCAGCAGGACATCACAGTGGCCAGAGTTCTGCTTGACGGTAAGTGAGGCTTAATGTGTTATGACTTTGTGAAAAGGTGCTTCTTTGGCAGGCAGGCAATGTTATTTTTAAGCAGTAGAAGACAGCATCTCAAGATTGAAGGAGCTCAGGTTTGAAATGAGGGGTCCTTGGTGCTCTGTCAGCTTGGCTGTTGACATGCAGACATTTCATTACCCAACTAGGTAATAACTTCAGTTATTAATAGTCATAAGTTGATCCCTGTTTATACAGTATATAGTAGCTCTGAACTTGGTTGTTTTCCTACAGACATCTCATCCAACAGATGATGATGTTACTCAGTTGGTGTTCTGACCTAGGCTTCCCAAGATCAAGAAGCAGACTCCTCACCCCAATAAAACCTCTTTTAAAGAGAATTCCTGGCCAACAGTCTTTCAAGAGATTTCACAATTGCAGGCTTGGAGAGCTGCCAGGCTGATATCTTCCAAACGCCAAGCTGTAGCGGCAATTACTCAGCAAGAAGTCAGGAACAGATCTTCAATCTAATGAATTGAAGTAATTGTCTCCTGCAAACTCCACTCCCCTTTCGCTCCTCTTTTATTTCCTCTGGGAGGGGCCATTCACCGTCCACCTGCGGCCTTACTCCCAAGTTGACCCCTGTTCTTTAGCTCTTCCCTTCATCTGGCAACTCTGCGCATGCGCACACTGGGAACAGGCTCCAGTTGTTCTTCTACCCCACTGATCTCCGATGCCAAAGACAGTTGATAACTGTCAGACGGCCGTGGCCCCCTCTCTACCTTCGACGCAGAGCCGTCATCAGAGCCTTCCTCGGACTCCAGGACTGGCCCATCTTCCTCCCCAACCTCCTCACTGTCTGAGTCTGCTACCAAATCCGCTGGCCACTGGCAATGGTAATGAAATGTCTTCAAGAAAACAACCAAGCTCACAGGGCATTGAGGATACCAATGGAAGGGGAAGGAGCAGAAGGACAACTATGGGGTGCTTGGTGCTCTCTGAGCTTGGTGGTTTTCTTGCAGATGTTTCATGACCCAACTAGGAAACATCATCAGTGGTAGAAGAGAGTGGGGTTTGTGGGAGAGAGGAGGATGAAGATTGCGAGGTCCTTGATGCTCTCTGAGCTTGATGGTTTTCTTGCAGACTTTTGATAACTCAACTACGCAACATCATCAGTAGTAGTAGTTTTAATTCAATTTAATTCAATAATCAGGCAAATTTAGCTGTGAGTTATTGTGCTTTTTTTTTTCCAGGATGCCCAATTTTACATTGTGCCATTCGTTTACATCCCCAATGAAGATCTTAGGACATGATGGTTACAATCTGCCTTTTGAATCTTCTCATCCTTCCATGGAACATGATGTCCCGATGCTACTCCATTTGCAGACCTTGTCACCGATTCCCAACCAGGCTGATTACAGTGGAATTAGCTGCAATTGTGAAATAAAAAAAAACACTCTTCTGGATGGGAGAGATATTAACGGATTGTTGGGGTACCCCACAATGCTTTAATCAAGGGGAGAGATGTTACCGACAGCTGGGAATCTTTATCCATTCTTTGAAATGAAAGATTCATGGGGAATTTGCACGCTGTTGAAGATGGAAATGGAAGCAACTTCCTGTTAGAATTTTGGAGACAAGGTTATTTGAGTTGGAATCAAGAGTGGCTGGGATGATCTACTGCCTATTTCTAGACTTTTGTATGCTTATAAATAAAAATGCGGTGGCTCAGTGGCTAAGATGCTTGAGTTTGTTGATCAGAAAGGTCGGCAGTTTGGCAGTTCGAATCCCTAGCGCCGCGTAACGGAGTGAGCTCCCGTTCTTTGTCCCAGCTTCTGCCAACCTAGCATGTAAAACATGCAAGTAGAAAAATAGGAGCCACCTTTGGTGGGAAAGTAACAACGTTCCATGCGCCTTCGGCGTCAAGTCATGCCGGCCACATGACCACGGAGACGTCTTTGGAAAGCGCTGGCTCTTTGGCTTTGAAATGGAGATGAGCACCGCTCCCTAGAGTTGGGAACGACTAGCACATATGTGCGAGGGGAACCTTTATTTTTATGTTAAAAAAAAATAGCTATAAGGGTAGTGTTATGTCTGCTGTGTATCCACATTCAAAGAAAGCTAAGAGTTTGATTAAAAGCTGTCCTGTTTTTTCTTTTTTAATGTATGGCATGCACCATTTTTGGGTGGGCATTGTGTGTTTTTTTTGCATCTTGAATATATTCATTTTTGGTTAATTATGCTCCTTTCTTACTTTCGGCTCTCAGTGCTGTTTTGTTTCGTACTCTTCGAGTCGGAAGTCTCAAAAAAACAGAGATCAATTTATCTCACTGATTTTTGCAGCCTCTCTGTAGGGCCACTGTTCTCTTTAAAAAATAACATAGCTGGAAGTCTATTTGCAATTATCTTCATTTCAGTCATCCCCGAGAACAGGAAGACACCACTTTAGATCCAACAACAATAGTAAAAATGACTTCATCCCACAC